TCTATCTATCTATCTATCTATCTATCTATCTATCTATCTATCTATCTATCTATCTATCTATCTATCTATCTATCTATCTACACTCCGTCCACCCATCTATCACCTGTCAATCTGTCTGTGTGTCCGTCCGTCCATCGATCCATCCATCTATCTATCGTCTGTCTGTCTACTACCTACCTACCTTGTATCTGTCAAATGCCCAAAGGCCCAATTGTAGATAGTCCTCTGTCTGTATCCAGCATCCAAAGGAAATTGATTTATTTTTACAGCTATTAAAATAATAAGAAGCAGCAAAGCACAAAGATAATCCTGACAGAAACATCTACACTATCAAAAGGAGAAAAAACACCCCCCCTCCCAAGTGTTTTAAAAAATAAAAACCAACTGAAAAGAAGTGGGGGGGGGGAATTCTATGGGCCACATGAAAATTTAACTTAATAACATTTCCAGCTTGTTGCCTTAACTGCTACCCCAACCTGGCTCTCTAGCGGTGCAGAATTATTATCTCACTGGGGTGTAAATACTTTAACCTAATTTTTTATTTTATTTTTTCCCCCCAAACTGCAACGTCTCCGTTTTTTTGCAGGTTACGGAAGAACCTGAAAGCGTTAATAATCGTTCACCCTTCTTGGTTCATTCGGACGGTGCTGGCGATTTCCCGGCCGTTCATCAGGTAAAGGAGTCAAAAGCTGGAGCCAAACCCACTTTCATCCTCCTCTTTTTAACGATCCCACGATCCCTCACGGATGGGTGGAGTCTGGGCACCTGAAGGGAACCAGCAGAGCGTTTTAATGGCCGGATGCCCTTCCTGTCACCAATGCAGAGATTTGTTCAGCAGATATATTCTCATTGTGCCCAGAGAGAGAGAGAAATGCCTGCCTCTACCTAGGATCGAACCCACAGTCTCTTGATTGTGAGGCGAGAGCACCACCTCTAGGCCGCCGCACCACTCAGCTTGGCACTTTGCAATGATTGCTTTCTTTGGGTCTGTTGCTTTCTATATGCCCCGTAGTAAATTTAACCCCTCTCCTTGTTTCTGGAGGGTTGCAGAAGTCCCTGAATGCCTCAATTCAGCGTTCTTTCATCTTGTCGAAAGGCTGGACTACAACACCCATCACCCCCTGGTGGTCTGGAACCTCCAGCCAACATGGCCGTTGGCTGAGGATTGTAGATAGCCCTGGACTTATAACCATTCATTTAGCGACTCTTCAAAGTTACAACGGCCCCTAATGGCCGTTTTTCACTCTTAACTACTGTTGCCGAATTTCCCCATGGTCACGTGATCAAAATTCGGGCACCTGGCAACAGACGCGTAGTTATGACGGTCACAGTGTCCCGGGGGAGGGTCACGCGATCCCCTTTTGTGACCCTGTGACGAGCAAAGTCAATGGATTCGCTTAACGACCGCGTGATTAACTTGGCGGCTGCTGTCCTTTCCTTAACTACCAGGGCAAGAGAGGTCGTAACCCGGAGCAAAACTCACTTAACAGCTGTCTCGCTTAGCCGCGGAAACTTTGGGCCCAAATGTCGTTAAGTCGAGTAATGTAACGGTTAGCCATTTTTTTCCTCCTAACCTTTCAAGCAACTTTAAAAGCTATTTCATCACCTTTGTGCTTTTACCTTATTAAATTACTAAATTAATTACTAAATTACCTTGATTAGGGTTGTTTGCAACATCCCGTAGACTTAACGGCTGTATGGGGAGTCCTCAACTTACGACCACATTGGGTTTTGGTTGCTAAGCAATGCGGTCATTAAGCAAGTCGTCCGATTTTACAAGCATTTTTACCTCGGTTGTTAAGCAAATCATGGTGGTTACTAAACGAATCAAGCAGTTGCTAAGCAAATCCGACTTATAGAATAGCAGAGTTGGAAGGAGGGACCCTGGAGGTCCTCTAGTCCAACTCCTTGCTCAGGCAGGAAACGCTGTGTCGGACAAGGGGCTGTTCAGTCTCTTCTTAAAAACCTTCAGTGTTGGAGCATTTGCAACTTTCCCAAATGACTTTGCTCGTTAGAAGCTGACCGGCAAAATCAATCAATCAATCAATCAATCAATCAATCAATCAATCAATCAATCAATCTAGCAAGCAAGCAAGCAAGCAAGCAATCAAGCAATTAGAATTAATAAGGTGGAAGGGACCTTGGTGGTCTTCTAATCCAACCCCCTGCTCAAGCAGGAGACCAGAGGTGGGTTCCTACCAGTTCGCACCAGTTCGGCAGAACCGGTTGGTCAAATCTACCGAACCGGTTAGAAG